CCCCCTCCCTTTTTCTCACTCAATAAAAACACTGAAAAGAAAAGAAAATGTACTGGAAAATGGGAGCTAACTTTATTTTCCCAGTGAATAAATTGCTCAGTGAATTTTTATGGGTGTCAACTATGCCTGCAATATTATACTGGGGGACTATAATCCCTTGAGAATTAATCTATTATAGTACCCAAGTGAATCTGTGTTATTGGTTCAAATATATTATTGTGACTAGACAGCATAGATTGTGATATTACGTAAAGCACCAGCATAGTCATAGAGTGAAAAGAACATCAGTTGGCCCAGAAACTCCAGTGTTGTCCTTGTCACTAACTACTTGTATTAGCTCCTAAGCAAATTTTATCATCTTTGTCTCACTTTCTTCACTTTAAAATATAGATGGGATTGGATTGGATGACCTCTAGATGCCTTACTGGCTCTGAAACTTTCTCTCTGACACATTTGAGCAGGCCTGTAATTGTCTCTAACTATTGTAACATTTCCACAGGGTGTTACCTACTGTGGAGAGAATTCAGCAAGCAGTCTTACCATGGCCAACGTGCCCTGGCATGAGGAAGTGGTACGCTTTGTCCGTGAATTGGTGGATCTGATCCCCGACTATGAAGTTGCTTGTGAACACGAACATTCCAATTGCCTCCTGATTGCTCACAGGAAGGTAAGAGTAGTCTGAATATTCATTCTTCTCCCACTCCTATCCTTATATCCCCTTTCTTCTCTTTCCTCTTTGTTTCCCCCTCACCTTATAATAGTGAGTATTGCTTGTTTGTTATCTTTACTAAAAGAGACATTTAAAAAACCCTAAATTCTGTCTGTTGAGCTCATAAAGTCTCCTTTTTGGGTGGAATTACTTCGTGTTTAGTCCTCATGTAGCCATTTGAAGTGCTTTCTGGATTATAATTGGTGAATGCTAACAAACAAAAGCAAAACCTCCTTGTAATAACCTCTGGTTCTTTCCCGGAATGACAAAGGAAAACTAAAAAGTAAACAACCTCTATGTGAGTGTTTCTGACTGTCAGAAGAAATATTGAGGTATTTATCACATTTTAGATCACTTTGAATCTTGGACCTCTGGAGAAATTTTTCTGAGATTTTGGTTCATGATTCTTATTTCCATTTTCCCCTTCATTGCTTTTATTAGGCAGAACCAGTGTGTGAATCCATTGTATTTTTAAGTAAATAATGCCTAGCAAATGAAAAATTCAGTTCTTCGTAGACCTGGGCCATTAAAATAAGAAGAAAAACTCTAATCAAGAGGCTAGTGTTAGAGTAGCTATTATAATATGTCCTTAGGGAAATATTTACACAAAAACAATGCAGCATCTGGAATTTGAATCAAAATAATACATGGTGAGGTAATGATGTGTGGATGGATTGAGGGCTGTTGAGGCTAGATGATGGATACATAGAGGTTCATATTACCCTGCCTAGTTTTTTTTTCAAATTCTCTATTAAAAATGCTTTTTAAAAAAAAAGTGGACATGGATGAACTCTGAAAACACCATACTAAGTGAAAAAAGCCAGACACAGAAAACCACATATTGTATCATTCCATTTATATGAAATGTTCAGAATAGGTAAACCCATAGAGATAGGAAGTAGACTGGTAGTTGCCAGAGGCTGGAGGAAGAACAGATTGGGAAGCTACTACTAACATCTATGGGGTTTCTTTTTGGGGTGATGAAAATGTTCTTGAATTATATGGTGGTGTTGGTTGTACAAATGTGTAACTATACTACTGAATTGAATTTTATGGTATGTGACTTATATCACCATAAAGGTAGATTAATACCAAAAAGTTAGTAAAAGTCAAGGGTAAGCGACTGTCATACTTATTTGGTGGTGATGAACTCCTTTAGCTTTTTTTTGGTCTGGAAAGCTCTTTATCTGTTCTATTCTAAATATCTGGTTGTAGGGCCTTGCTTTTTATCACTTCGAATGTTTTATGCCATTCTCTTCTGGCCTGCAAAGTTTTTGTTGAGAAATCATCTGACAGACTATAGGAGCTCCCTTGTATGTAACTAACTGCTTTTCTCTTGCTACTTTTAAGATTCTTTCTTTGTCTTTAACCTTTGGCATTTAAATTATGATGTGTCTTGGGATGGGCCTCTTTGAGTTCATCTTGTTTGGGACTCTCTCTCTGTTTCCTGGACTTGTGTATCTCTTTCCTTGGCTAGGTTAGGGAAGTTTTCCATCTTTATTTCTACAATTAGGTTTTCAATCCCTTGCACTTTTTGAGCTGCTGCCCCAGTTCTGGAGCTCAAGGGAACCCATCAGTGAGTAAGTCCAGTCCATGCACAGGCCCTTTAAGACCAGCAGTGCCTAGGTCTCCAGCAGCCCTCTGTTGCAGTCTTACTCAGTTGCGATCTCCACTGGTTTTCACTGCCAGAGGTTATTAGGACTTCTCTTCCCAGCCTGGATCCCTGGGCTTGGGAACCCTGTGTGGGGTTGGGACCCTTCACTCCTTAGGGGGGACCTCTGCAGCCTTGATACTCCTCCTGTTTCTTAACTACCACCACACATGGGTGTGAGACCTGCCTGTTTCACATCTCTGCCCCTCCTACCAGTTGATGTGGAGGCTCCTTTATATCCTGAGGTACAGCACTTCTGTTCAGCTAGTCTCAGGTGGTTCTCAATGATGCTTGTTCTATAATTTTGATGTGGTTGTGGGAGGATGTAAGCACAGCTTTTACCTACTCTGCCATCTTGACCTGAAGTTTATTTAATAAAATATTTTTAAACATTTAAAGTAATAAATAACCTATTCTTCATTATTCTACTTAATAAAATATTCCTTGTGTGAAAGATAATAAAATAATGAGAACAAGACCCTTTGTAAAGAAGTTTGATTTGTTTGTAAAGGAGTTGGGCGCCCACAGAACTGTCTCATCTGGCCAACAAGGCCACTAATCCTTAGCATCCTGGCTTTATTTAGCCAAGGCTGTACCTTAGGGCGCCTGTGCTGTGCTTTTGAGATCATCCATGACCTTTTCAGTTTATAGTAATATTGCATAGATTTGTCTCTTCCCTTACTGTTGGATTTGAGGAAGTTTTGAAGTGGGGTGACATGAAGCATGTTTAACCTCACACTTTGTGATTTGAGGTTTCATTCCTTTATTTATGCAGCTCTGTCTTCAGCATTATTTTTGTGCCAGTCAAAATAAAATTTGCCCTTTTAGCTTCTCCTTTTGCATGAAACAGTTTGACTCTTTCTGAGCTATTATTTAATAGGATTATTCTCAGATTGTCTTGAGAGGGAGCATATATAGTTTCACTTTTGTCTTAGCGATCTGATGGCTAATTTAAGAGTAGCTTACTATTACAGACGGAATGCTAATGTCCTTTCAAAATTCATGTGTTGAAGTCCTGACCCCCTGGGCCCTCTGAAAAAGTAATCAAGGCTAAAGGAGGTCATAAGGGTGGGACCCTGATCTGATAGGATTGGTGTTCTTATAAGAAGAGACACCAGAGTCCCCCCCCTCCAACCCACCCTTGTGCACACACTAGGAAGAGGCATGTGAAGCCACAGTGAGAAGATGGCTGTTTGCTGGAAACTTTGTCTTAGGATTCTAGTATCTAGAACTGTGAGAAGCCCTGGCTGGGTAGCTAGCTGATTAGAGCATTGGCTTGATATGCCACGGTTGTGGATTCAATTTCCTCTCAGGGCACATACAAGAAGCAACCAATGAATGCATCAGTAAATGGAACTAGAAATTGATGTTTCTCTCTCTCCCCCTCCCCCTCTCCCTCTCTTCCCCTCTCTCTCTCCCCGTCTCTTCCCCTCTCCTCCCCTTTCATTCTCTCTAAAAAATAAATAAATAAATTTTAAAAAGAGAAAAAATAGAACTGTGAGAAAATGAATTTTTGTTAAGACAGCCTGTCAGTGGTGATTTGTTATGCTAGCCCAAGCGAACTGATATACCTACCGTTTGTTACATTTACTTGTCTTCTAGTTTGTTTTCTTAGACATTAGCAGAGTTGTCAGTTTTCAGATATTAGATTATAGTTGTCGTATCTGTGCAACTAATTTCTTCCAATTTATGCTAGGTTAAAGTTTTGTAGTCAGAATAGACCAGATGTTCTCCAGACTGCATTAGAGTTAGGAAATCAATTTAGTGTGTTGCTGCCAGCAGTTTTTTAAATGAACTAGATTGCCTCCTTTTACTGTCATACACATTAATGACATATTAACTTCTGTACTAGTTGGAAAATCATCACACTTCCGGTCATATGTACCATGCTTTCTATTGTGAATGCACTCTGAAAACAGTCCATACTATTTTATGGAGCCAATAGCAGCAAAATTTCATCCTGTCTTTCAAGATGGCAATAGAAGAGGTGAAAATTTTTTTCACCATGTCATCCTCTAGCTTTGTTAAGAGGTAAGGAGGAAGAGACCAGGCCCTTGTATGTCCTAAGTAATAATATAAATTATAATAAGTCAGATATATTCACAAAGCGAGCAGTCTTGGCAGGGTTGAATGGGATGGGGGAGGTAGTGCTACAGAAGCAATTATAATATGCTCTTGTTGGGCAAGTTCAAGATACAGTGAAGTCATGTGGCAGAGGAACTGTCATAGTCTCAAGTGATTTGAAAAAACTTCCCAGAGCAAAGGACATTTATGAGGAGACCTGAAGCGTAAGTAGGTGTTTAATGAGACAGAGGGAACGGCATGGAAGTCATATGACGGAGCTAGTTAATGAAGAGCCTCCAGATGGAAGTTTGATATTTAGACTGTAGTCCTAGATAATGGGGCTCAATTCTACTGTTGGTGTAGTAATCTCAAGCAGTCTGCAGAATTTGGAAACAGCAAAAACTGGATTCAGGAGATCATTCAGCTGGAAAACTATTGCTGGGTCCCGGAAGTGAGGGCCTGTGTTAGGGTGGTGTTGGGGCTTGGTGACAGAAATTCCGCTAAGGAAGAGTCGATGAAGCCTGGCTGTATTTTGAATGTGAGGGGTCAGGGAAGGGAGGGGCACCTTTGACTCTAGTTTTGAGGTTCAGTGCCTGGGGATGACAGTGATTGCTTTCACAGCGCTAGAGAACATTCAAGAGCAGTCTGTCTTGGGAGGAAAAATGACGGGAGATATGGATTTTACGTCTTGAATTATAGAGTTCAAAGAGCCCTTGGGGCACCATTTCAAAAAATGGTCTTATTAGAAGAAAATTTCTCATGATTCATAGATAAAGTTTTCCATTTGTTTGGCATTTTTTCCCCCTAAAGCTCTTAGCTGTTGGGTAAAAAATCAAATGTCATTATGGCATAGGGAATATAGTCAATAATATTGTAATAAGTTTGCACGGTGACAGATGGTTACTAGACTTATCAGGGTGATCCCATCATAAGGTATATAAATGTTGAGTCACTGTGAAACTAGTATAATATTGTGTGCAAACTATAATAAAAATTTTTAAATCAGATGTCATTTAAATTCAGCATATTTCAATATTCTATATCCAGGAAACTATACATTTTTAATCATTTTCTCAGCTAGGACATAAAATTGTTAGTTCACTTGGTTCATAATCAGGTTTTTGTTTTTTTAAAAAGACAGTGGCATAACAGATTTGTCTGTTTATAAATCAAGTATCAACGTATTATACATTTACACGAATGAATGCCAAATAGATACTTTGAATTAAAAGCCTCCACAGTT